TAAATTTACTTAATTTATAGCTAAAGGTTCGTTAATATAAGCTTTATATTCGTTATTTATAATAACGGCCGATTAATTTAAAAAAACTTTTTTTATCCGAATCGTATTATACTTCGATTTAATTTTAAAATTAATAACTATTAAAAACGGCTGATAATTATAAATATTTTCCTTTGTAATTATTTTCGGGAAATAACTTAATAATATCGATATTATAATTATCGTAAAAATGCAATATACGATGTCGTCGAAAATAAGAGGTTTTAAATCGTGGATTTAAAATAATAACTATTAAAAACGGCTTATAATTATAAATATTTTCCTTTGTAATTATTTTCGGAAATGAAAGTTTAATTTATTAACTTTAGTTTATATCGCTTTTATTAAGCTTTGCAAAAATGTTTTTTATTTTATTTTTATTAGTGAAAAAATAAAAGGAAATAAAAAATAAAAAGAAATAAAAAATAAAACTTACGTAATAAAGGCGTTAACGAACTTTATTTCGGTATTTATTGTAAATAGCTATTAATTTCGTATAAAACTAATATATATATATATATATATATATATATAATAAAGCCGTTAATAAAGTAATATAAAATTCGCCTTATAATTTTATATTTAATTTAAAAAAAACCTTAAAAATCCGTTTTAATTGGTTTATAAGGTTTGGAAACAATTAATTAGCAGTTAAACTGGGCCCAGTTCCAATTAACTTAAGTTAATTCGATTACTAACTGGAACTAGCCTAGTTAGCTTACCTTGTAACTGGAATTAATTTAAGTTTTTTAAATTATTAATTATAACTAACTGGGCATAAATTGTAACCAGGGTTGGTACTTAGTTAATTAATAATTAACTAACGTTAATTAATAGGGTTGAAATTATTGAGTTGAGTTTTGAGTTTGAGTTTGAGTTAACTCAATTGAGTTGAGTTTTACTCACGGTGCTAACTAAATCATTGAGTTTGAGTTATTACTTTTAATAACTCATTGAGTTTTACTCAGCCTACTAACTAAATTAATTGAGTTTTGAGTTAAACTAAATCAATTGAGTTTAAGTTAATAACTTAATAACTCAATAACTCAAAGCTGTTTTTATTTAATAAAGAAATAAATAAAATAAATAAAAGTAAAATAAAACCGTCAATTTATAAGCTTATTATTTATTTAATTTATTAAATAAAAAAATACTTTATAAGTATTTTATTTAATAAAATAAATTATTTGAGTTATTAACTCAAACTTAAATGAGTTAACTTAATTGAGTTTTACTCAGCCTGCTAACTAAATCAATTGAGTTTGAGTTAGCATTTTAATAACTCAATTGATTTAGTTAATAACTAAACTCAATTGAGTTAACTGCCAGTTAACTTAATTGCAACCCTGTTAATTAACTAAAAATTATATTTAGTTTAGTTTTTAGTTAACTAAATTTAGTTATTTAAAGTGCTAATTAAAATTAAATTAATTTAGTTAATAGTTTGACTAAAACTAAAGATTTTAATTAATAAGGTGATTAAAACTAAACTAAATTAAATAATTTAATTTTTAATTTTAATTAATTAATTAACTAAAGATTTAATTTTATTTATAATTTAATTAATCAATTAATTATAATCGAATAAATTAATATAAATAATTAATTAAAGCTTTTTTTAAATAATTATATTATTACTTTTATTTTATTTATTTATAATCAAGGTTGGCATTAAGTGTAAGCTTGAGTTAACTCAATTAAGTTAACTCAAACTCAATTAAGTTGAGTTATTAACTAAACTCAATTGAGTTAACTCAAACTTAATTGAGTTGAGTTATTAACTAATAAGGTTGGCATTTAATTAACTATTAGTTAATTACGCGTAATTAACTACGAACTACTCGTAGTTTAGTTATTGACTAATTACGCGTAATTAGTTAAACTGCTAACTAAAATTACGCGTAATTAGTTAGCAGCCTGAGTAAAATTACCGTAGTTAGTTAAGGGCCTGAGTAAAACTAAACTACCGTAATTTAGTTAATAACTACACTAATTAATTAACTACGATTTAAATTAAATAATAAGTAAAATATTTAATTATTTAATAGTTTTTAAAATTTATTAATAAAAGAATAAATAAGAATTATAAAGCCGTTATTCTTTTATTTTTATTTTTTTATTTCGATTTTTTATAATTCTTTTTATTTTTATTATTTTAATAATAAAATTAAATTAAAAAATTTATTAGGCACCATTGGGTTATAAAGAGAGTGTGGTAAAAGCATGCATTTCCTATTTACGGATTAGCCGTAGGCCAATTTATTATATAGCCACGCTAAGCGTTACGCGCTTAATCATCTGCTTAGTTATTATATTAGGCTACGCCTAATACCTCCCCTTTCCTTTTTTTTTTAATTTATTTTCCTAATTTGTTATAATATATTAATGCATTAATATAATTTTTATTATTTAGTTTTTAATATTTCGTTATTATTAACCCGTTATTTTATAATATTATTTCCGTTTCCGTCGGTATATTATATCCAGGGTTGAAAATGCAGTTTGCAGTTAGTTGGTGAAGTTTAAGTTAACTTAACTTTTTGCAGTTGCAGTCCGGACTTTTGCTAACTGCATGCAGTCACTTATCAGTTTAAGTTTAAATTTTAATAACTTAAGTTAACTGCGCAGTTACCTGCAGTTACTGCAGTATGATATTAAAATAATTAATAATAAATCGAATTTTTAATATTTTTAAAAGCTTTTTATTGCTTTAAATCTTTTAAAAACGGCTTTATAAAACGTTTATAAAATAAATAATATTAATAATTTATTTAATTAAATAATAATAATTTAATTATTATAGTTAGCAGTTAATTAACTTAACTGCAAAGTGCAGTTAGCAATTATTTTGCAGTTAACTTAACTTTTTGCAGTTGCAGTCCGGATTTTTACTAACTGCAGTCAGTTAAGTTGCAGTCCGAAAATCATGCAGTTAACTTAACTGCACTGCAGTGCACTGCGCAGTCACTTTTTTGCAACCCTGATTATATCCTTTAGGATTGGCGTATTTTGCGAAGGCGTTTGGATAATCGCTAGGTAAAAGTATCCGTAAGCTTTCGCTTTGCTAAGCTTTTGCGGCTTTTAGATTTAAATATCTCGAGCTTAGGTTTAAATTTAGGCTCCGGCAGGGTTGCTAAAATTAATTTATCCGAATTAAACGATATATTGCTAAATATTTCGATAATCGGTATATTTTTAGCGGTTATATATTTAGTAAATTTGGCTTTAAAACCTATAGGCTGCTATTTAATAGCCGGTATAGCTAGGGCTAAGGGTAAAAAGCGCGGTTTTTTAGGGAAATCGTTATTTTTAATAAATCGTAATATATTAACCTATTTAGGTATTAGAGTACGCTTGGCTATAGCTACCTCGACGGCCTTATTAACCATTCTTTAGACGTGGTTATTAGCAGCTGCGGCTAATTCCCTTAAATAATTATTATTGCGTAAATATTCGTTAATTTTATCCCGAATTAAAGCATTAATCGTATTTCGCATATTTTTATTATTAATAATTATTATTTTAATTTAATTAGCAATTATATTTTTAGTAATTTTATTATTTTATAATTTATTAATTTTAGCGTTCGTAATTTTTTAATGCTTAATTAAAAAAATAAGGCCGCCGGCTAGCTTAGGTATAAAATAATTTAAGGCGTTTTTAATATAGATTTTTATTATTTTTTTTATATTATAGGCCTTTTTGCCGGTAAAAGGGTTAGTATAATATAAGCGTTCGGGGCTAAAGGGCCTATTTAGTGCTAAAAAGTCGATATATAGGGCTATATTGGTTAATAAATTATTTAGCCGGAAAAATTTTTCGTTATCGGGCAGGTTA